GGCCCCGCCTGCCAAGCCGGCGCGGCACCAGGCACAGGTCAGAGCCAGGCCGGACTAGGACAGCCGGAGGAGCCAGGGAAATCGCACGAGTACCGGGGTGTCACACAGGGCGTACTCCCAAGTGCCGGTGAACGTTTAGGTTCGGGTGTATTACAGGAAAGCACACAGGACCGTGAAGCCCCTCAGCACCTGCCGCACGCCCACCACTCCTGCAGCAGCTCTGCGGTCCTCTCTCCCGGGGTCTTCACGAGGTGTGATCGGAAACACGGTGAGCGCTGCTGCCGGGTGCCACGCAGCAGAGGCAGCGTGTGAGGACAGGTGACGCTGTGTCGTCTGCCTTAGTCACCGGCCCTGGCACCTTGCGACTTCCGGCTCTTCCTGACGATGACAGCGAAACATTTAGAATGTTTTCTAATGGAAAATGGAGGTAGCCAGGACAACGCAGCTGAAGACGCTCGGCAAAGAGGACTCCAGAGCTGCTGCAGGAAGCGGCCAGGATGACGGGACAAGTGTGCTCGATTTGCATTTGGAGGGGAGTTCACCGCAGAGTGTACCTTGCTATGACAGACTTTTTAAAAATAAGTACTCACCGTATTCTTTGATCGCACCTCAGGGCAGCGCTGTGATCACCAGGGTACAGGTATGCAGGGTAATGTTACTGCCAAAGCAGTGCCTGGCGCCCTGCGCTGAGGACTTGTCAGGAGGCTGCAGCTCTGCTGCCAGGCTTTGGGCAGAGCGTGTGGTTCCCTGAGCACTGGTACCTCACCCTATAGGGAGCAACGTTTTCCAGCACGTGACCGTGCTGTGGTGGGTGAACTTCCCTTGCACTGTCGCTGGAGACCAGGAAGTGTTGACATCATTATTTAGGGGGCTTTGGGGTGAGGGCTCTCAGTTCCCAAGAGACAGTGTTGGTTCTGATTCAAGGGACTCACAGATGGAAGAAAGCTAACTGGACGTGGTGGCACACGCCTGTATTCCTGGCCCTTGGGAGGCTGAGGCAGGAGGATTCCCATGCGTTTGAGGCCAGCCTGGGCTCCATAGAGAGATTTTGTTGTCTCAAAAAGCAAAACAGAGTGGCAGAAGTCCAATGTGTAACCTGAGGAGTGAGGCAGGAGGAGGAAGGGTCGGGACTTGGGAGAAACCCAGAGCACTCAGAGGGCCTCCATCAGTAGGGGTTTCTGCCCGTCTCTGACTGCTCACTTCTGCCTCTCCCTAGAATTCTTTGACTTCACCTATGACCTCAACCTGTGCGGGCTGACGGAGGATCAGGACCTGCAGGTGTCGACGATGAGGCACCACACGGCACTGGAGCTCACCGAGGCCGGTGTGGAGGCGGCGGCTGCCTCTGTCATCTCCGTGGCCCGGAACCTACTGATCTTTGAGGTGCAGCAGCCCTTCATCTTCTTGCTCTGGGACCAGGAGCACAAGTTCCCCGTCTTCATGGGCCGAGTCTACGACCCCAGGGCCTGAGCTGCCCCAGATGCCCAGCTTCCCTCAGTGCTCCTGGCAGCCCCTCCATGGCCTAAATATTCTGCACACCACTCTGCAGCTTTCCCTGGTTCGGGTTCACCAGGCCCTACAAATAAAGCTGGCCAGCCACGACCTTCTCTCTTGTTTGCCTTTGCATTTCAACTGCCTCAGTGTTAGGGGACAGAGCTGGGCGTGGTGGCGCATGCCTGTGATCCCAGGACTCTGGAGGCTGAGGCAGGAGGGGTGCCACAACTTCAAGGTCTGTCGAAACTGAAAAGAACACCAAGTTCCCTGCAGACTCCAGTTGGTACTTTCCCTGCAGGCCCCTGATCTCGGACCTTTGGTCTCTGCAAGTTTCGCCATATGTCTCGTGGTTCAGAGGCCTTTGACCCTGGCCTGGCCGTGCTCCTGGTGTCCCAGTTGTCCAGCTTGTGGAAGGCCTATCCTGGGGCCTCCCCACCTCCTGATCGTGAGCATTGAGGTCCTAACACACACACACCCGTGTGTCTACCTCCTGCCCAGTTGTCCTGTCTATTTGGCTCTTCTTCCTTTTCGGTGCTGGGGTGGAAACCAGGGCAAACACCCTGCCACAGGCTCCACCCCAGCCTGGTTTTGTTGCCCTTGAGAACCCTAATACAGTCCACAGCATTTCACTGCAGGGGACGCCAGCTGTGGTGGGCTCACCTGTCATCCCAGCATCCAGCAGGCTGAGGCAGGAGGGTTGCCAAGAATTTAAGGCCAGCCTGGGCTACTTAGGGAGACTTTGTCTCAAATTAAAAGAAAAATTACAGAGAGGTCACACTATGTAAAGTGTATACTACTGAAGACACTGAATATTAAAAACAGAGTGTTTGACACTCTAATTTCCAGTAGGGAGGAAGTCTTCAACCAGCCCAGGCTATTTTGTATTTGCTGAGCACTGAGCTTGCTGACACTCTGCAGAGCAGGCTCCTCCTAGATTAACTGCTTGGCATGTCGTGATAGTTATTTGGCTTATCGCGGCCAGCTTCCACTGCCGAGCTGTTGACTTGGTTTAGCACTGACATGGCACCCAGTGAATGCTGAGATCTCGCCGTTCTAGGGTGGGGAGGACTTTGGCGACGGCAGAGCTGAGTGTTTCGCTTGCAGCCCGTGGGCCACAACCATCACTGCCAGATGTTGTGACGCCGTGAACAGTGCTGCACTCACATGGGCGATGTGACCATGGATGGCAGGCTTTCGCTTTTTGATTTCTTGGTTTGCGGTTCAGGCTGGCCTTGAACACACCGTGTAGCCCAGGCTGACCTCAAACTCGTGGGGATCTTCCTGCCTCAGCCTCCTGTGTGTACCACCACACCCAGCTCAAGTACCAATGCTATGAGTTACAGAGCCATTGGAGACCAAGGTACAGCAGTGGGAGGGCAAGGAGCAGACTGCTCAGACTGCTGCTTCCTTGAGGGTGCAGTCCATGGCAGGAAGTATAACTTAACACGTGAGAAGCCCAGGCCAGCCCAGTGTGCAGATACATTGTGACTTTATTTAGCTTTGTGTAGCTTTGAGACAGGATCCCATATGCGGTCCAGGCTGGCCTTGAACTCCCTGTGTAGCACAAGCTGGCCTCAAAGTCATCATGATCGTACTGCCTCGGCCTCCTGACTGCTGGCGTGACGGTGTGCTCCCCCCACCGGCTGTCAGGATCCCAGAGGGAGTCATCCCTTCCCCAGCTTGTCTTAAGGAACGGAATGGATCCGGGCTGCAACAGGAAATCAATGGACTCTAGAGGACCCGCTCGCGGACCCCCGCTGTGGCTTTCCTCAGGGTCCCAGGGACCCCTGGCTCCAGTAGCGGGCACACCTGTGGAATTCACCAGTGGGGGCTGCCTTGGCTCCCCCTCAGTCCTGCGCAGGTCCGAGCCGCCCCCTAGGCTGTGGTCACCAGAACTGAAGTTGAAGGTCTCCACGCGGCGTGCGTGTGGCAGCTGTCCCGGGCCCGGTGCCTGGCCCGTGGCCGGGCGTGGAAGAATGTTATCATGGTCCTTCCGAGCGAGCGCGAGGTGAGGAGAAGGAGGCGCTGCCTTCACGCCTCACCTGCTGTGGACGCGGCCAGGGCAGAAGCGCAGCTAGGAAGGCAGCTGGGCAGTGCAGAAGGCCTTGGAAGCCAGGCTGAGGACTTCGGGTGTGTCTTCCTGGAGGATCCTAACTGCAGGGAGAAGAAGAGGGCATGGGGAGTGGTGGTGTGTGAGTCGTGTCCAAAGGTCTCAGGTTCTCCTGGAAACATAGGTCGTAATCAAAATATTGATTTGGTTTTTTTTTTTTGGACAGAAAGAATTACCCATAGGTTTCACCAGGGGCTGTGTTTTGTTTGTTTGTTTGTTTGTTGAGTTCATAACCCAGTAATGCCTAGGAAGCAGGGTCCAGGCACTGGGGAGCTGTCACAGTTATAGCAGACTGAGCTGAGCATAGAGGTGAGCGCCTGTAATGCTGGCATTCAGGAAGCTGAGGCAGAGGATCTCTAGGAATTCGAGGTCAGCCTGGACTATGTAGTGGAACCTCGTCTGAAAAAAAAAAATTGGGACAGATTAACGACCTGAGGTTTGTGCTGCAGACTCATCTCGGGTGGAATGGGGGCCGGAGGGAGTTATTCAGAGGATGATGCAAAGCTCCAGAGGATTCCAGCTGGCAGGGAGGGAGGGAGAGACGCCCCAGACACAGCGAGCGCAGGGTTTGGGGCAGTTGGCCGGGGGCGGGGGGGTCAGGGAAGGAAAGGTAAGGGCTAGAAGTGATGGGCTTTAAGGAAAGCCTAACCAATTACGATTGGCTTTCCAACAGCAAACTTTTTTTAATCTGCTGGAGACACAGATGATTTGCAGGTCCAGCCTCAACCCCTGGGGCCCCAAAGCCTTGGGCTCCTTCTTCTCAAGCCCCCAGGTCTGGACTGAGAGTCTCAAGTCCCCTCCCCTGGCGGAAGCTCTGCCAGGCCTGAGGCTCCCCTGGTTCTCCCAGCCCTGACCCGCAGGGCAGGAGGGCTCCCTGGTGGTGTCATGTGGGTGCCTGACACATGCACGCGCATGCGCACATGCGCACACTCGCCCCAGCTCCAGCCCCAGCCCCCAAGGGGCTCTGTGTACCGGGAAGCAAAGCCAGGGTGGGAAGGGAAGCAGGATCATGGGACGGGGTTTTGACAAACTGGACGCAGTGTCTCTGACTCCGGGTCATCTCGTCAGCCCAGGACCTTTGTCGTGGGGGACAGATGCCAGGGAAGCCAGCACTGTCGAGCGGGATTTCTCGGGGCTCAGCAGAAACCTCGAGGGTGCCAGCCGCAGTGGGCTCTGCCTGGTTCTCAGCCCACTTCCAGGCATCTGTCTCCACCTCTTTCTCCACTTCTCTTGTCTTCATTTCATGTCTTCAATTCAGGCAGATTCTCCCACATGGAGCTGCAGTTACGGCTCTGGACATTTCAAGCCCTTATCCCAAAATAGCCAACAACACCTCAGGCCAAATTATGATGGGCTTTGGTTGGCTTCTCATCCCATTGGATGGCTATAATTGGCTTCTCCAATTGAGTGGCTCTGATTGGCTTCTTACCTAACTAGATAGCTCTGATTGGCTTCATATCCAACTGGATGGCAGTAATTGGCCACTCATCCTTGAATCAATTATTACGTTTTATTTGGCTGAGTCTTATCTGGGTGACTTTCTTTAAGAAAGCTCGCCGTGGTCCTTCCTCCTCGTGTCCTTTCCTGGTAGCCAACAGACTACGGTAACGTTGACCGGTTGTCACTTCCGTGAGGAGTTCCCCAGGACGGTGACTTCCGGTGTGCGAACAGGCTCTTTCCTGTTGGCTTTCAGGATGCAAGCATCCCTGTTGGACAGCCCATTTCAAGGAACCCCAGCCACACCCCGAAACAGAGGACATTGGACCCACTCCTATGACCGCATGAGGCTTTGAGGGAACAACTAGACACCAGCTGCGACACCAGGCTCCCGCAAGCCACTGACGTTTCAAGACTGACAGAGCCAGTTGTGGTGTGGTGGTTTGGACTTGAAATAGCCCCCAACACTCCTGTGCTAAAGGTGTTTTGGGACCTGAAGGAATCATTCAGGCACTGATGTCAGCAAGAGGCTGTGTGCTGATGAGACCCCAGGGGCCAGCATCGTGGAGCCGGGGGGCTGTGGACTGGACCCTCCCAAACCAAGACAAAATCAATGGAGACTTCCTTAAGCTACTTGTGTCAGGGTTAGACACAGTGACGAAGCTGACCAAAGCAACGGCTAATGCTGAGCAGAGGCTGTGCGATGGGCGCAGAGAAGGACCACGACACGGTCATGGGTGCCCTGGTGGGAACCGCTTCGGTGGGAATCGAAGGCAGAAGCCCAAGCACGTGGTTTAAAAATGGGTGAGGAAGTGAGTGGAACACTCCGGGCATGGAGGGATGAGCGCCGCTTGTGAGGAAGGTACAGTTGGCCCGGGCTGGCGTCACACTCCCGCCTCCGCTGCACCTGGATGGTCAGGCGATGCCTTCTCAGGAGCGTGGAAACCTGGAGCGCTCAACACACAGGTCAAGCAGCCTCCGTCACAAGGCGACACCCTGGGGTCAGCAGTGTCCCCAGAACATGAGCATCGGACAGAGCCACGTGGGGCCCGCTCCATCCTGGGGCGGAGTCAGAGGGACACAGGGCTGCAGCTGGCGGGAGGGGAGTCTTCCCAGGGAGTCCTGGCCCTTCCTGACCACTGAAATCCCAACACTCCTCCACCCGGCCCAGCCCTCACGCTGTCCCCTTTCCTGGGTGTGTCCCTGTCCCCCTTCCTCCTCCAGGGAGCCCTCGGGCTCCACCCCTGCTGTGGGCTGTGGTTCCCTCTCCAGGCCTGCTTACCTGTTTCGCACCAGAGGAATCAGCAGGAAACTTCAGCTCCCAGAAGCCTCCTTCTCCGCCTTCAAGGTCAGGGCCCATGGGCACCGCCTGCTACCGAGGCCCTGCTAGTCCTGGTCAGCCTGCGGAGGGACGAGGCTGGTCACTTCCCTGCCTCTGCCCCTTCACAGGACGGGGTTGCCACATGGGCCCCTCTGTCGAGCGGACCCAGGGAGGGGGCCCTGGGGTTTCACGTGACATCTGTAACCTCCCAGAACCAGGCCAACCCTTTGTGCTGGGAGACACAG